CGGGGGGAGCGGGGTGCGGTGGGGGAGGGCGAGGTGGGGTGGGTGTTAGACATACAATATGATGGGCAGCTGACGGTTTGGCCGGTTCATGTATATTCCGGACGGAGGACGGAACTAATGGCGCAGGCGCCTTGTTTCTTCGGCCGTGGAGGGGGAAGATGGTCCCGGTGTGTGTCCCCCACCCCACCCCCGGTGTTGGGGAATCGCAGATACGCAGTGTTTAAATGAGCAAAGCGGGGGAAGGGAAGGGAAGGGAAGCGATGGGAGGTGGGGTGTTTCCCTCCTAATCTCCCTCTCAATTCCTCCTCTCCCATCTGCCTTCCTTGCAACTCCCGGTCCGGTGTCCGGGCTCTCCTATCTAACCGGGCAGGAGACAACGGAGGATTCCTTTGTTTGACTTTTCCTTCCTCCTCGCTGGGCTTCCCCCGTGTTTAAAGCCTGAGGAGCCCAAGGCCAGAAAATTAGGAGTTGTGGGGGCGGGGGGGGGGTAGGGTGGTTCCAGGCAAGGCGTGAGCCGGAAGTGGTGAGAATAATCCAAGCTTCTTCATTCTTCGCCTCCTTTGGAAGCCCAAAGACAAATATATCCCTAGACTGGGGCAGTTTGGGAGGGTCTCACGGCCAGTGAGACACAGACACCCACCCATGGTTGTTGGGGGCGGGGGTGTAGTCTTTGACTACGCCAACGCCCTATAATATATGGCTGGGAAGAGTTAAAATTGGGCAGAGATGCCGAAAGCGGAAGAAGAAGAAGAAGGCAACTCTCTCGCAGGGGGAGACTGAGTAGACAGGCCACTGTCCATGGTGCTGATCGCGCCTCCGCTCTCTGCTCCTGATGATCTGGCATTCGTTTTGAAAGCTCCGGGTTTAAAACATCCCATGTGAATATTGTTCCCAGTGGTTCAAAGCATCCCAAGGAATCAAAGATGCCACCTATTAGTAAGCTTACTCTGCCGATCAAAGTAAACAAATACCAAGCTTACAAGGTTCTTATATTTTGATGGAATCTGCTGGGAAGCTGCTTCTCTGTTCTCTCCTCTTAATGTTGACTTTAGCATATAAAAGCCATTTCATAGTCATCATTAACCATCGCTTATTGTAGCATCCCTTTCCAAGCTAGTGATTCCCAAATCTGTAGCAACTCCCAACTTTCTCCAGTCAATTGTATTGTGGCAGGTGACCATCTCCTTAGTGGATGACAGCCCACTACCATTAAGGTCTGTTTGTTTACTGTCCAATATAGCTGGTACCATCAAGAAGTTGATTCTCAGGTTTAACTGAAATCCTAATTATTAAGACTGCTTCTTGCAATTTAGCATATGGTTTGTTGCCATTTGAATGCATTGGTTCATATCATGAGACAAGAGAAACTAATTTTATCCCATCTTCTTGTGACATTGCTATGGAGAAGTTATATATGCAAAGTGATATTTTAAAGAATATTGACTCAATCATGACAGATAAATGAATAAATTAGAAAAATATATGCAGGCTAGAGGATGTTTTAGATTAAGAGGAGGAAACATGAGGTCCACCACATGTTTGAACTACATTTAGCAGATTGTCTAAGCTTCTAGGGGTTGTGATTCAGTAAGAAATGGAAGTCTATATTTTGCCCACCCTTTTTTTAAAGGAAAATTTGAATTTCTCACATAACTCATCAGATATGATCACTGAATAAATGTGTGGACTAACTAAAATATTTGCATGTGGGACTGCCGTGTATTATTTTATATTAGGACTAATATTATCCCATATTTCTGACCAAAGCACTCATATAATTTTCAGTTGGAAGCCAACCCCAATCACATTTAGATGTTTAGGGAAAATTACTATGGAACTAAACTTTATTTTCAATATATTGTTGATTCATAATAAGTTAAATTCATTTTGGACAGGTTTTTATTCATGTCTTTGTTTTTTCTGGTTGTTACTATCATATTATAAAGACAAGGGAAGCCTATGAATAGTCATTTTGCTTGCATTTCATGAAATTTTAGTAAAGCATTCCATTGAAATCAAAGAATTTTGCACAACCTTTAGAGAAGTTATATTTTTATAGGCTTGAACCAATTTTTGGAAACTGCTGTGTAAATATCACCCAATAACAGAGAAGTCCTATGTTCCTGAATCTGGCAGGTACCAGTAATTGGGGATTATGTTTTTCACAATCTCTATTTTCTGGTATAAAATAATGGAAACTGTAGTTTAATATCACAGAATTTAATCCTGCTTTTTGGAAAGTTTCTGTTCCCTACTTAGCTGTTTGTTCGCTTCATTTCTTCCCTTCCCTCTTTGGACAATCATTTAACATCTCCAATTCTTGGTTTAGTGGGATGGGGTCCCCCCCCCCTTTTCCTAATGATAATGTACATGGATACTTTCAATTTATATGCATACAAGTCAACATTCGAAGAATTGATGGTGTGATTGATCTCCATAATAGAGAGAATCTCAGAAACAGAACCTTGCAAGGAAGGAAACAAATCAGACAGTGAAATGGAAGACAGAATGAGGAGGTATTAAACAAAAAAGGGCCTGGAAGTTGAGAGCATACAGTTAGAAATCAGATATTCATGGAGAACTAGATGGAAGAAATATTGGATCGTTGAGAAAAGAGATTAAAAAGTGAGCATAGAGAAGAGGAAGAACAGGTTAAAAGTGCAGCACTATAGAAGTCATTTGTGATAGATGATAGAGAGAGATGATAGATAGAGAGACATAAACTTTTAAAGTCTTGCCTCCATGGACTCATATAGTTGTCTCTCTTCCAACTACTAACCAGCTTGGCTCTTTGGAGATCAATAAAGTTTGGTTAAGTGCTGCAGAATACTCAGAATCATGAAGTATCCATATTGCAGGGGGAAAAAGACAACCCCGCCCCCCTGAAATGATGATGGTGTCTGCAGTTACTTCAAGAATTCAGAATTGAATTGCTAAACTATTCTAATTCCATTCTCAAAATACTCACAGCATATAATTTTTATAGTTAATGCAACCTAATTGTAATATATTTCCTGGCAGCTGGGCTGTAAGAAGGGCAATCATATTTGGAACACAGGTAGTCTTTGACTTACAGTGGTTCATTCAGTGACCATCTGAAGTTACAACGGCACTGCAAAAAGTGACTTATGACCGTTTTTCACACTTACAATCGTTGCCGCATCCCCACAGTCACCTGATCAAAATTCTGACGATTGGCCACCGACTCATATTTATCATGTTTGAGTGTCCCAGGATCACACGATCCCCTTCGTTAACAACTCTAATTTAACTGTTTAATCTAACTGCAGTAATTCACTTGGCTGTGGCACAGAAGGTTGTAAAATGGGGCAACATTCATTTAACAGCTGTCTCGTTTAGCAACACGGTAGAAATTCTGGACTCAGTTGTAAGTTGAGGACTACCTGTTCATTACCGATTACCTCTGGGTAATGAAGACCTTCCTCCCTATGGAAAAATGCCATTTCCAACAAGCTGCTCAATTGAAAAGCAAAACAGTAATTCCCATCCATCTAAACATATTGAGATGTTGAGAGTCATACGTCAGGGAATGTCTAACGGACAATGGTGATTAGAGTGAGTAGAAATGATAACCTTCTTAATGTGGCCTTAATGTCAGAAATACTTTGACTGATTGCATAAATCTGCCATCTGTTTCAGGTCACAGTTTGCGCTGAAGTTCCTTGATCCTTCCTTTGTACCCAACACAAATTCCTTGAATCAGGAGATGCAGGACAAGTCACCCAAGTGGACATTCAACAGAACGGCATTCTTACAACAAAGGTGAGAAAAAAAACTGAAAAGTGAGGCTAAGATCAGAAGGATTAGATTTGGGGTAAATCCACCCTAAGGCTAGTTTTTAAGCACAGCCACTTGGCAACAGACAACGGTGCCCTTGAACATTGTCAAAAAAGCTGTCAGGATTCCAACTGTTACCTCAATTAAATCATGAGTCTTGAGCCAACTTTCAAAACTTTAAAAGGATTTATTGGGAGTTAACATGTCCCACACTGCCTGGGTGTAGCCGACTCTGAGACACATAATTCATTGTCACCCTTGACCCTGGTTTTCCCTCCACCCCGAGTGTATCGTAATTCATATTCTCCAATGAGACACATCCATAGGCAAGAGTCATCAGTCATGTTCTCCAGTTAGAATTTTGTGCAGCAGAAACTTCAGTCACCTAGTTAGTATCTTTGAAAAACTATGTATGGGATGCACTTTATATTTCCAAGCTGCTACACTGTTCTTTCAAATCCCTTTTCCCCTCCCTTTCTGTTGGCAACTCTGAAAAGACCACAGAAATATTTTATAAGTTGACAAATATCCAATCAGTGTTTTAGGGAATAAATGTCCCAAATATTTAGATGCATTCTATGTCTGCATGTATGAAATTCTCATTTGCCACCTAGTAGTTTGATTGTTTCTCAAGTCATTTGAGGATGAGAGATGAAGAGATCATTTGGGGACACTGAATTGGATATTTTGCTCTTTTAAATTATATCAACTAAGCCAAGGTGTCCTAATAAGGAATGGGGTTGTAATTTTTCCTGCCAAGAGTGCACAAGATACAGCACAAAGAAACCACAAATAAATGTTATAGTGGGCTAATGTTATTCTTTTTTTAGCAGTTTTGCTCCCTGTACATTCAAAATAGGTCAGATTGTACCAAGACTCGAAATCAGGGATGGTGAATGATGGCTCTTTTGTGACTTATGGACTTCAACTCCCAGAATTCCTGAGCTAACATGAAGGAGGACTGAAGGAAGGACTGAAGGAAGAATTCTGGGAGTTGCAGTCCACAAGTCTTCAAGCTGTCAAGTTTGAAGACCCCTGGTTTAGAGCAGAGGTGGTGATGGCTGTATTATATGACTTATGGACTTCAACTCCCAGAATTCCTGAGCCAGCATTTAAAGATTCTACTTATAATAAATCCTTGCTAGCTTTGAATACAGAATTCTTTATTGGCCAAGTGTGTTTGGACACACAAGGAATTTGTCTTGGTCTAAATGCTCTCAGTGTTCATAAAAGAAAAGATACAATCATCAAGAGTCAAGAATCATAAGGTACAACACTTAATAATAGTCATAGGGTACAATAAGCAATCAAATCACACTAGGAAACAGTCAATATAAATCATTAGGATACAAGCAACAAGGTTACAGTCATACAGTCATAAGTGGGAGGGGATGGGTGGAAGGAGGGATGGAAGCATTATAAAATCAGTGGCTCTCAAATATTCTTTAGCTTTCAATACCATACGGAAAAAAAAATTCTTTTGAAAGAAGAGAGGAAATATGGGAAATATGAGCCATCGCTTTGCAATCTATTCATTCTTTAAATCTCTGTAATAATGGCTTAATCATTAGCTAACAGACAGCCAAGATTACAATGATCCATGTTGAGTGAAATATATGGATTCCCACCTAGCCAGAAATTACCTATTTTGTTCAAATAAATCAAGCTGTTTCAATACTGCACTGTTTTAAATACAATTTGGGAGTGATGGAGATGAGGATCCAATAAAATAAAATAGGATGGAAATAGCTTCAGTTCTGGGTAAGAAGAGTAGATATGTTAGCAGTTGATTTGATTACATTTTATTCGGTATTGCACGGAAGAGAAGCTAGATGGTAGATTACATAGCTTTAAAAATTGGAATGGAAAGCAAGTTCAATGGAATTTGGGTGAGGCATGTTACCAACTCAGCTTCCATTCTAATATTCTTTATAGGACAGATACAAACACAATATAAAATTTCATTAAAGAAGCAACAGTCCATTCAGCTTCAATTTCATTATAGAATTTCTCCATCAAGAAGGTCACAAGGCCATATTATTTCCAGGGAACTGTACCACAACTTTCTTTATATTGTTATATCCAGAACAGATTTTTTAAAAGAAGATGAAATATCACTTCCTATCAAAAATATTAATTTCGTTATGAATAATTTAAGTTTTGTTCTGTGTGAGTAATAGAGAAAAAGATATACCATTACACAATGCAGTTTATATTATATTACTCTTAAAATAAATCCTTCATGATTTTTTCCCCTCATAATTACCTGAAAGGAAGATAACTGTACTTAAAATAACCCACTCCTAAATGAATATTAAGCAGAAAAAAACAATCTTCCTTGGTTACTGTGCTATTAAAACTTTCCATTTTAAAACTAATTTATTTTGAAGTAAGATTGGACTGTCTTGTCAAATAAACTAAATATCGCTTTTTACTTTTACAGATAAAGCTGAAAGATTGACTTTCAAATAAAAAACTTGGTTATATCAAATTCAGTACATTTGGTAAATGATCATATTGTGTGTGTGTGTGTGTGTGTGTAATATATAATTTGTAATATGTAATAATATGTAACATGTACTATTAACATAGTATATGTTAACATAGTTTGGTGTAGCGGTTAAAATGTTGGCCAACAAACCAGACTATGAATTCTTGTCCTCTGAGTATGAAAGCCAGCTGAGTAAGTTTGGGCCAGTCCCTCTCCCTCAGCCCAATTCACCTTACAGGGATGTTGTTGTGGGGGGAGGAAAAAGGAGGAGGAAGGAATATTAGATATGTTCCTCACCTTGACTTACTTATAAAGTAATAAGGATGGAATACATATCTAATAAATAAATAAATAAATAAAAATCATAGTTCTGAATGATTTTCAGAATTCTCTTCCAGAAATTTGCTGCTAGGTCCATGGTTCCTAAGTACCTGATAATCTGATGCTAATCAGAAATCCTGTTTAACACATTTAACAAATAATCAGAGTTGGAAGGAACCTTGTAGGTCATCTGTCCAACCACCTGCTGTCTGACAAGGGGCCCATTCCTAGGCTTCCATCATTTCCCTGGCTATTTTTGTACCTGCTCAGCCAACAATCTCAGCAGCTACAAAATTGAAAGTATGTCCATTGAGGGGAAAAAAAACAAACAAGTTAATAGCTGGCCATCAACAAAGAAAAAAACAACCACACACAACCAGATATCCCATTAATACTACACATAGAATAACCCAAAAGCACATATCCTGACAGAGAAGTTACCTGAGGATGGTCATTAGTACAAGCCTGAAAGCTCAACGAACTAAACTTCTGGTCCTAGTGGCCAACCCAGTTTGGATCCTGCAACGTTATCAAGATCCAATTATCCAATCCAATTATCAGGGTCATATATATTTGCCTTCATTTGTCCCAGGAAGAATTCCATATGGCATTTCAAATTTTTCTGGGAATTTTTAAGTCAGGTTTTTAACGTATATCTAAAATTACAAAAGCACCAAACTCTAGATTCCAACTGAAAAATTGCTAATTTTATGGGAGGAGGGAAGGACAGATTTACCTCCTGAATCTGTTAGCTCTCAAATGTTGATAGACCAAACTGAGTGCATGCCATCCCATAAGCTACAGCATTTATTTATTCTGTTCAATCAATTGTGTCTGATTCATGGAGACTGCCTGGAAAAGTCCCTGCAGTTTTCTTAGCAAAGTTTTTTCAGAAGTGGTTGGCTATTGTCTCTTTCCAAGGGCTGACCCTAACCCTAATCCTAACCCTAAGCCAAGAGGAGAGAAAGAGAGAGAGAGAGAGAGAAAGAGAGAGGCAACCCAGGTGGTTTTGTGGCTAAGGCAGGACTAGAATTTACAGTCTCTTGGTTTCTAGCCTAGTGCCTTAGCCACTAGACGAAGCTAATTTTCTAAAAGAGAAGTGTAGGAAGGAGGCAATGACAAATCACTTTAGAAAAACTTTGCCTAGAAAAAGCAAGGAATTTCCCTCAGGAGTCTCCAAAAATATGAGAGAGAGAGAGAGAGAGAGAAGACAGAGAGGGAGAGGGAGGGTGGGTGGAGGGAGGGAGAGAGAGAGAGAAAGAGGGAGAGGGAGGGGGAGAGAATAAGATTATAATTATTTCTGAGCCATGGATTTGTATCTGGAACTATATCTATAACAGGGCTGTCAAACTCAATTCCATTAAGGGCTGCATCAAGGTTGTGTTTGACCTCAGGGGACTGAGGTGGGCATGGTCAGTTTGACATCACTTGTGTCAGGGGCGCCTGTGGTGACCTTAGTGTTCTGCCAGGAAAATGGGCTCACGAGTTCCGTGGCCTTCACAAGATCCTCTGTGGCCCACCTTTGACCCTTGCAAGCTCCATTTTCACTGGCAGAGGAACCGGGCTGGCCCATTGCTGTTTCCAGGGTAGCCCCATGGGCCAGATCTAAGCACCCCATGGGCAGAGGTGGTATTCAGCAGGTTCTGACCAGTTCTGGAGAACTGGTAGCGGAAATGATGAGTAGTTTGGAGAACCAGCAAATACCGCCTCTGACTGGCCCTGTCCCCATCTATTCTCTGCCTCCCAAATCCCAGCTGATTGGCTGGGTCTTCTTTTGTGGTCCTGCACAGGAGAATGGAGCTGGAAAGCAGGTTAGTGGGGTGGGGCGGGAATGGGAATTTTGCAGTATCTTTCCCCCTGGAGTGGGGAAGGAATGGAGATTTTACAATACCCTTCCCCTGCCACGCCCACAAAGCTATGCCACGCCCACAAAGCCATACCCACAAAACCAGTAGTAAATATGTTTGAATCCCACCACTGCCCGTGGGCCAGATTCAGCCCATAGGCCTTGAGATTGACACCCCTGATCTATAATGTAATGTATAATGTCTTGAATTGGTAATTGGGAAGAGGTGCAAGAACAGGGATTCTTGATATTTCTTCATTCCACCCCAGCCAAATATTTTCCCCACCCATATTTATTTCCCCCACCCTGGGAAAATGTGATAATGTG